AATGAAAAATTAAAAAAAAACCTAGTAGATGTTGCACTTGAGGCTATGGTCTAGTGGTTGGGGAAATGTTGGGAGGACGGTTGGACCTGATGATCCTGGAGGTCCTTTCCAACCATGGTGATTCTATGATTCTGTAATTCCAAGAAGCTGATGCTGCAGACCATAGGCCACAGTTACATTTTCCAGGAGAGGTTGTCTTAGCTTTTAGTCCAACAGTAACAAGTCCAAGAAAATAAGAAGCACATACACTGTGAATAGGAAGGGTCTGGCCAGCCACTGCGAGTCAAACCAAAGCAAGTGGTTCCCACTTCTCTTTCACCATCTACTATTTTGATTCTTTCACTTTAAGTTTTACCTAATTTCTGTGGAAATGAGCCTATGCAGACCCACAGCAACTTCTTACAGTAGCAGCTAAACTGCAAGCCAAAATTTTAACCAGTATTAGCTACCAGTGAAAATGAAGATTGGAATTGCATTTGTATAGTCTCGAAACTGATCACATTCTTCACGCAAATTCAAATGACTTATTCAATTACACTCTTCAGAACTAATAAGCAGCTCTATCCTGCTTTCTGTTGTTTCCCCAGGTCTCTTAACAGTGTTCTCATGGCTACATAAAGGACTCCACACACCACTTTAATGTCTATCAGCTTATGAAGGTAGAGATGTGACCGTCCTTTTAGCAACAGAGCACACTTTAAATAAATTAAAATCCAAAGCTGTGGGCACGTTTGCAAGCCACTCTGCAAATGACAAATTCATAGTTCAAAAGGCTTCTGAAGACTCTGTTATCATGGTATCACCCTTCTTTCCCTCAGTACTGTAGAAGATGATCCACAAAATTGTCCTCTTCCTGCCAGGCAGCTTGTTACATTGAAGTCCCTCTTAACATGTAGGTCAGGCGTGAGACAGCCCCCACGGAAGTGTATCATGTTTATGGAAAGAAGCCTAGCACCTAGACTCTTACGTAAGCCTTGACATCGACCACATGCTGTTTTGAGGTGAACGTCTATGCTGTTTTAATGACACATACCAGGATAAAAAGCACTGCCAGCATGAGACAGCACCATCCACTTCCACCAACTTGAGCAGGGAAGGGTAAAGCAGCTATGACAAGAAACTGAAAGAAGCTTCTGAGCAGCAGCAGTGTGACAATTTAGATATCCACTTTCACACCCAAGGTCAAACATTCTTCCCTTCCTTTCTGGTTGCTTTTACCTGCAGGAGTTTTGCACTAGATGTTAACAGTCTTCCTCCCTCTGAGCAAGCAGTTTCCCATTGTGATTTGGTGAAGTCACAACAGACAAGAGGCATCTCAAAATTTTTAAGCAGCACACTATAAAATAGCCTACACAGAAGGACTCTCCCTGTAACTTTGGTCTGTTGTTTCTACATAGCAACTGATGCTGCACCTGCCTGGAAGCTGAAGAAGGTTTACAGAAGCAATAAAAGCGCTAACAAGCAAAGGACTGCACTGTTCCACATTTGGGTTCTGGCTTGCCTTTGCAAACACAGTCTGTGTTGAAAAACATGAAAAAAAAGTGTCATCATCTCTACAGCTATGTATTTTTAATTGTATGTGTTTCCATTTTTTTAGGGTGTTTAGCCCAAGACCAGTCCAAAAAATAACAAAATTGTCCAGGACAAAAATCTAGAGACAGAAGATTTTTTTCCAGGTACGCTCATTAAATCCTACCGGGTGTCAAAGCAATTTCTGACTCAGTTCCTTCTTTTACTTTTGTTTAATATTTTTTTGGGACTGACATTTCACAGATTTGAGCTCCAGTGAGGGTATCAGTTGTTTGCATCTTGTCCTCCCTCGAAATTCAAGGAAGTACCTCTCAATGGGGCAAATAAAAGAACAGCAAACCAGTTCTCCCCCATTGATAATTCTACTAAAATAACAAAGTTCCAACCGAAGGTTTTCAGAATAAATTATATTATTACCATGTAGCATGAATAAATACAGAGACTGCACAAATAATCCTGTTACAGAAACATATGTTTGGACAAACAAAGCAAGAAGAGATTAAACTTACTAATTACTAAGCTTAACAAATTTTAAGTACAACTTTTTATTAAAAGGGCAATGATTTAAGTAGGAAACTGTTAAATGCTACGAATATGAGAAGCTGCATTGTTCTGTAGCTTACTGGATCTCTTTCCTCAAAACTTTGTAGCAGATGAATTTCTGTATTGGGTAAATACAAATAACAGCATTTTCAGATGAGAGAGTAGTTGTGGGGAACGAAGAATGGTTCATTTAAAACAGCCTTCCTTGTCGTGGGAAAGATAATAGGACTTTAAAAGCAGCATGAACATGCTGGGAGAAAAAGTACTCAAACCTGGTTTTAAATAGTTGTTCCTGTTCAAAACTAAATAATTTTTCCAGCGTTATTAAACTCAGGTACCTTCGTGCTGCAAGATAAACTTCTAAGGTTAATTCTATACCATGAAGAATTTTTATGTTTCCAGAGACCTTCTGTTAGAGCATCACTCTTATTTTTTATCACCAAACTAATCCTGTCATTGACACTACTTCAGGTTCTGCCTGAATGACGACAGCGAGCCTGGGCTCTGATAGTTCCAGTTTGCCAAGCACTCAAAGGCACAGAACACTTAAAAAAAAATGCTAGCATTTAGTTTTCTTCCTGATCGCTCTGACAGGGCTAGGATTATTGAATATGTACCTTCACCCTCTCACCCGGAAAATACTTAAATTATTAAATTAAAACCACTTAACTTTGTGTATGCAGCAGGCTCACAAAAACATTTTTTTTTTTTTTTTATTTTACATCAGTATAGGGCGACTCTTTAACCTTTTAAGCAAATGAAGCGGCAGTGTTTTAGGCCTTCAGCTAAAATCCCATCTTCTGTAGTGCGCAGCTTCTGACTTGCTGCTATTTGCACAGGGCAGAATTTTCAGTACCGTGCAAA